TCACTGGTTCAAGAATCACGTCTGTGCGACCACCATGGACTGGACACAGATGACATTTCAGAGGGATTGGAGGGTTCAATGAAGGGATTCCACTTCTGTTTAACTTGTGTAGGTTCAACGGGATCAGAACCGTTCTGTATCATTTCAGCAGGTTTTGGTGAGAGCCGCTGATCGCCAGGCTCAGAAGTTCTCTCGGCAAAGCCACTCCCTGGCTTTGCTCGGCTTGGGAACCAGACCAGAGCATTCAAGTGCTTTCCGCCAGATGAACGCTGCAGTAACAATGAGCCCGCGGAAGAGTCGGGGTGCTTCACTGGTTACATGGGCATCCTGTGTGGACAGTGCCGCCCTGGATTCTACTCAAGCAGGGATGCTTGCGAACGCTGCACAACTGCCTTGATCCTTCCCAATGTTTACTGTGCTTGGTATGCTGCGGGCTGCGCCATGATGTTGGCCTTGGTGGGAGGGCTGCTGTGGCTACGGAACCAGGGTCAGGAGCAAGACGAAAATCCTGACACAGGCCAGCGACAGAGGGGCTTCGGTGTCTTGAAGCATCAACTCAAAGTGCAGGCTCCGATTCTTCTCCAACTATGCCGCTCGGCTCATTGAATAATGCCGAAGTTCCGTACATGATTGTTCTACGCTGATATATATATATATATATATGAATTATTATATATATATATATATATATGTATATGTATATATATATGTATAATATATATATATATAGATATTATTGAAATCGATGTATTGTTGAAGCAGATAATTGCTAAAAACCTTCCACACTAGCCTAAACGCAGCACACGATGTCAACAGCTACTGCAGCTATACAGCCAGTGTGCACAGATGTGGCCAGCATTGAATTCACCGAGGTCAGCTTTGGTCTGTTGTGGCTGCGCTGTCTTCAGGCCAGGAAGAAGAAGGAAGCGACAACATCAAGGACAGTCATTTGGCAGAAGGCGGTGTAAGTTTTGGGTCAGGTGGAAGTACGTGACTGCTTGGTCATCCAGCAGCTCATATATCTATTTAGATTGATGTAAAGAGCTACGCTGAACCCTGAGGAGCCTGCTGCGACCTCTCTGTGGGAACTGCCCTACATCCAAGCACTTCAGCTGTCCCTTTCAAACCTCAAAGGTGTCTTCAACCTACAATGCCACTACGATGCTCGGCCCATCCAGTCAAATCTTTCATGGAGTTGTGGGTTGCAAACCGTGTTGCCTTGCAAGTTCCTGATGAGTAGCCAAGCTGATTGCTTCGCGGCCTGCAAGCATGGCTGCTGACCTAGGATGGTCCGACAGTGCGCTGGGCATTTGCTCTCTTGGCTCCAGCGTTTCCTATCGCCGTTCTGGTGTTGTCCTTGGGATTGGAGTTCGCACGTCGAGGACTTGGCGTTTCAGTGGCATTGCAGGCTGGACGCCAAGAATTTGGCCGTCGGTTCGTCAACCCAAAGTGCCGGACGAGTAGACCAGCTGGTCCAAGCAAGACAAACAAAGGTATTGTCGATTTGCAGCGGAGCAATGTGGCAATGCACCGGACTATAGTGACATAGCAACCATGTTTGTAGCCCCATCGCTTCTTTGCTTTATGCCACAGGTGGTACTAAGGTGATCCTGTGTGATCTGGTATGGTGATAATCCCAACAACGTCATCAAATCTCAGGAGGCGCAAAGAACTCTTGATGAAGCTCCCAAAATTGTCACGACCTTGGGCCATTCGACCCGTCTAAATCATAGCTGGGTGCGTTGGACACGTCGGACGGTTGTCGGACTGAGAGAATATATTTTGGTGCCCCGGGGCAGACCTCAAGACTTGCCGTGTCTTGAAGTGAACACTCTTTCCGGTGACTCGCCCGAAAGTTCAGACACCTGCAGGTCATCGCCTTTCTCTACATTGGAGGAGCGTCCAGCTCATCAAACCTTCTGAGTTGCCAGGGGACGGATGGACTGGGTGAATCTTGGCTTCACTTCAGGATGATCTAGGTTTGTAAATAAGTAACCTTAGCAGCAACACTGGCGAATCTTCTGCCTTTCAAGCAACAGAGTTGTTAGAGTTGTTGGCATTTGAAGGACACAAATGCAAGCATTCTTTGCCGGTTGCAGATGGCTTTTGAGATGTTTTATTCTTTCCTCAGAATTCAAGCTTGCATGAACACTAATGAGAAACGCAGGTTGACAGTGGACTGGTTTGCGTGGTTTTTGCTTTGGGGGAGATACCTCCTATCTGGTTTACAGAGGTGAGGGGCGAGGGGCGAAAAAACCCCACCTTCTCGAGTCACAACTCAATCCGGGTACCAGAAGAAAGCAACGATGCGGTGTTGGATCGTTATTGTGCCTTTGGTGACCTGGAGACTCAAATGAACAAGCTGCGCTTGGATGCGGTGTGTGAAGCATTCCTCAGCTGCAGCTTGTGCGCCCAGGAACAGTTGCCCAAGAACTTTGCCTTCCGAAGTGCAATTCCTGAGATTCTTTGCGATGAAGAGTCAGCCTTCAAAGCCAAAGTTGACATGGTCGCCTACATCACTGCCTTTGGCTATGCCGTGGTGGTCCCATGTTGCCTCCTGTACCTCTATGCACGCCAGCACCTCCTCTTGCGCCGCAGCAGGATGACCACCACATTTGCAACTCACCAGGATGATCTCAAAGTGACATTGAAACCAGTTCTGAAGTCAGGAAAGCCGACCCCAGAGAAGCAGGAGCAGTGGACGCGTCACACGGTGGCATCGACCGCTGCCTACATCTCCTTGACTTTTCGAGGGCCGCTCTCCTTGAGAATGGAAGAAGGACAGATGGTGGTGCAGATGCTCGAGGGTTGCAGTTTGACGCATGGAGAAGTGGAGATGAATATTTCGGACGTGGGCACCTTCCTTGACGAGGATGAGGTTCAACAGGCGCGGATACTGAGATGCAGGGCCATCAGTGAGATGCTGATGGAAAGGAGCACCCTGCACGAAGTGGCCCCATCAGAGAGGATCTTGCTGGGTGCCCAGAACTTGCTGTCAAAGTATGCCTTTGGCAGCTCAGAAAAAACTTGGGACATTTTGCGATGGCGACAAGAGAGATGGATTTGCCTTAATCTGAACGTCGGATCACGCTTTTGGTTGAGCAGAACAAAGGACCCTACATGTGTGATAAGAGTCACATGTGTGTGGGATGACATGGAGAGTTTCATAGGACTCCACAGGGCATGGTGATGTTTAAAGCTTGGAACTCGGATCAGACGGGAGCGGGTTAGGTAGAAACGTCTTCCTGGAGATCGTGCAGAAGTTGGTGGCCGTGGCCTTGGTGTCCACCGTCTCCAGCCCTGATGGCTTGAAGCTGGCCCTCGGCATCACCCTCACCACGGCGGCCATGGTGGCGTTGGTGCAGCCATATTTGAAGCCGCAGGCAGATGGTCAAACCATGTGTGCGGAGTTTCATGCTCCGTTTTAGCCTAATCTGTTGAGTTTTTACTGGAGTGCGACGTTGAGTTGTCCTGAAACGCGAAGCAGGCGTCTTCTTCTGGTCGAGATTCAACTGAATTCCCGGGCAGCATAGGATGAACAAAAAAATCAATTCCCACTTCTACATGTCATTCCCCCTTATATCCCTGCCTCGGGCCTTGTTCTCCAAAGCCTGAAACCATCAGAAAATAGAACAACTCCAGCATCTCCAAACTTCACAAGTGAATCTCGAGTCGCACTCACCGCGCTTCTCGCAACCAAGCTCCACCTGCCCGACCCCAGCCCCAAGAAAATGCAAGCTCGGATTTTGTAGATGCAGGTAGTGAAGAGGTGGATGAAACTTACGTTCTCGCACCCCCCCCCCCCCAAAACAGTGCGGGCTTTTGCAGATGTAGGTAGTTACAAGGTGAAGGAATTTCCGGTTCTTGGTCAGGCGAACTCCAGGCATCACAAGGTGGCGACAAGCGTTTAACGCCCCTATTGCAACTCCCTCGCCTCCCTGCCTCGTGAGCATCGGGCTTTTCGTTGTGAGGATGGCCTCGGTGCTTGCCAAACTCCCATCGCAACCAAGGCCCACCCGCACCTCCCCCCCCAAAACAAGAGCGGGCTTTTGTAGATGCAGGTAGTCAACAAGTGGATGAACTTCACGTTCAGCTCGTTCGCAGGCGAACACGCTGCTGGCGTGCTGCTACCTTTGCCTCGCCGTGGCAGCGTGGGCTTTCGACCGGCGCGTGGCCTGGCTGAGCCGCGCGGCTCTGGCGCTGCCCTTCTTGCTGACCTTGCTGCAGTCCTTGACCCCGGACGGGGCCGAGACCCGGGCGCTGCGCATCTGGGAGGAGGCGGGATCACGGAAACTAAAGGTTTGGATCCAAGTGCCATGTTCGGAGCAGGGTTGTGGAATCAAGGGGTTGATTCCCACTTCTGTGATACCTTCGGGAATCTCCCCCTGTATGGGCAGGGAACTTGCCCCCGGTCTTGTTTCTGGTAAACAAAGCTGCCGAGCCCTAACTCACAGACGACGTCGGCCAAAAAAAACCCGTTTCCACATCCCTCGCCGCAGGACTTGGAACCCCAAGTCCAGGCGTTGCAAGAGGGCAAGGCCGTCGAAATCACTGCAGAGCCTCAGCTGAAGTCATTCAGAATGTATGGATTCTTTGGTGCATTTTGCTTGGCTGCTGGGACTTTAACTTTTTGCCAACTAATTGGTTTTCCGTATCAAACCACTAAAAGTTAGTCACTTTAGCAGGGCTTCGCAGATTTCGCCACCGATTTCTCAAAGGACGAGGCAGTGCTCCCCCAGAAGGGTTGGTTTCTGTGGGTTTCCCTTCAACCACGCGACTGGTGAAGAAATGGTGAGACACGCGAAACCCTATTTGAGTCTTGTGTGCGCCACAAGCATGCTAGGGTTTCGCCAACGAGTGACTGGTCCCCTAAAAGGGTTTCCCTAACAGCAACCAACAGGGGGTCCGCCATGTTGAGAAACACTGAAGTAGCTCTGATGATTGAGTCTTCATGCTTGAAGGGCTAGGAGAACTGAGACAACTCCGTCTTGCCTACTAAGGAGACGTACAATTTCATCTGATTCGGAAATCAGTTTCACCTTGTGATAGCACGTGCCCATCATCGAGAAAATGTGTCTTCCTGCGCACTTGCCGCGGCTTTCAGAGGGACTTGATGAGCTATGGCAGCAGCAATTTGCGTCACGTCAATCTTGCAGTCAGACATTCCCACCTGCGATGCCACGAAATGTGCTTCACTTTTCGCAATCATGGCAGTTTGATCATGAGTTCCTTTAGTTCGCAGAGGGTACTTGGATGCATCAAGGTTCAAGACCATTCACCCATCACGATCTAGCCTGAGCCTGAACGTATCTTCGGCATGAGACGGTCGTGGATGGTTCTCTTTGGCCAGCAATGAATGCCGTCCGAGTTTGTGTTGACCTTCTCCTGCAATTTTGTCGGCTGGAACTAGGTGCGCAGGAGAACAAGTCATTGACTCTGCTTGTGCCACGGATCCAACAAGCACTGGCAGTTTGCAGGATGTTGGATTGTTTTCGTGTTTTGAATGCTGTTGGAAGCTATTCCGGGCTTTTCCAGTGCCAGGTGCAAGACAAAGTGAGCACGCTGCTGGGCTCGGTGGCCTTTTGTCCCGGTGGATGCCTGAATTCGCTTCGGACCAGTCCGCCAACCGGGAGAACTGAGTCACAATTGGACACCCTTCCGATCGGAAGCGGGCTTGCATGGTCTTCTTGAACGACGCGAGCGCATCTCTAAATATGAGAAACCGTTTTCATGCCCCAATTGCCGGAGCCACCGATCCCATTGTTCATGTTCAGCTGTTTTATCCGCTGTATCCTTGTGACTTTTTGATCGTGTTGTCCATTTGCAGGTCTCTTGATGAGAAGTGAAGTGCCTCTCGGCGACCCGTCTTGTGGTTGCTAATGTGATCTCCTCACAAAAGCTGGTCACCGGCGATCACATTGACATGGCTGTGGCTCAGGTCGTTTCGGCAATCGTCTTGGCTGTGTCTGTTTTGGTTGCATGTGTGCAGATTTGCAACCTGCATGCCAGGAAAGAGTGTGAACACCCAATGCTGGATGCTTTAGCTGCAGAGGCACGGCAGAGAGTTCTGCATGGAGCGCACGCCTATTCTCAGAAAGCACACACGCTAACACATAAAATGGCAACTTAGGATTAACAACCCTCCTGATTAAGAAAGGGCATCCCATTTCAGGGTGATTTGACATTTTTAGGATGTAAATATGCTTTAACTCTTTTCCTTCAGCGTTTTGATTCTTTCAGCTTTAACTCTTGTCCTGAAACCGCTTTTGGGTGTTCAGATTTTTGCCCCGAGGCAGCCAATTCTGATACACGTTGTGCCGCTGAAGCGGTGCAAGCCAGTGCCACAGTCGACTTTTTGGGTGAGACACGGTGAGGACTTGCACTTTGGCAATGATTCCCACGAGCATTCGCAACTCGCAGCTTGGATGGTTGATCATGAAGGCTCGAGCAAGCTGCTCGATGATGAATGTGGCGGTCAGCCGTTCTGAAGAGTACTGCACTTTGCGCAGGCGTTTGCGAGGTTTGCTCCTGCCAAGGGATGCCACCTGCCGGGATGGTTGGAAGACTTCTCTGCAACCTCCTCCTGGACGTGCTGTTTGCGCACTTCCGTACCCAAAGACCAAAGCAGGAGCTTGCTGGCTGAACACGTCACACTTTGGACGACGCCTGCAAATCCACAGCCAGAAGGTGAATGCGGCTTTGAGCAGTCCTGCACTTTGCGCAAGCGTTTGCGGCTGATGTCTGGCTTCACACCCTCGTACCAGCAAGGCGGATGCTGACTGGCCAAACGGCGCATGGTTCCCATGAGAGTTTCTCCCTGTCGTTGACCCCTTTTTGGTTGGTATTTCAAGGGAGAGGGGCCGCCAAATTTTGACACAAAGCAGAACGAGTGCACACAACTGGTGATAACCAGAACACTTGCTTCAAATAGATCATTGAGATGACCTTGGGGTCATTGGAACGGGCGACGGGCAAGCACCCGTGCCTCTTCGAAAACGAATATGGGGGGGGGTGCGAAGCTCCAAAGCGTGTGCCAGGCGCCAGGCGCCGAATGTTTGTGGCTCGCTCATCGACCGAGCGCTGCAGCCCTGCAGACTGCGAATCCTTGGATCCCGAGATTCCCGCCAAGCCGGCAGTAGCTTTGAACTTGCTCAGATGCTTGGCAAGAACGAAGTGCGTGATCTCTGAGATGGAGTCAAGCTTGGATCTTGCGCGGCTGTGCCTCGTACTACGAAAGTGTAGCGCTGCGCATGGCTAGCGGACAGCTTGGCCAGCCACTGGCTTGCCCTCTAGCGCGGTTGAGCGGTTGAGGCTCGGTTGCGCGAGCTTCAGGGGCAACACTTCGGGCTTCGCGCAGTTGCGTGTTGTGCCATGACTTCTTGCGCTTCGGTAGAGTGCAAATGCCAACCTGACTCGGGTTGAGGCACTGGTGGGGTCGCTGCCCCTTTGTGGAGACAAGGCCGTGCATAAAAGAGGCAGTGGTGGTGGTCTTGATTTGCTTTGAAAGGCAAGCGGGACATACCCCGAATCATACCCCAACTGCTCAAACCTTCCTGCCCGGCCACCGTAGAAAAACAGAAACCCAGAATATGTTGGTCACGCAGGTTTCCTGGCCAGGCGTTTCTCTTCGCCAGGCAAGGTTTGAGTTGCCACCTGTGGGTCGGTCTCGACTTGTGAGACGCCAGCGCCAAGCACTCTGTTTTCGCCAAGGTCACGGAGCCCCAATGAACAGCTAGGCTTTGCAGGTCTCTGAGTCCGGGGTATGCCCCCTTGCCTGGAGGGAACGCAACAGTTACGACTGGTGATCCAAGTAGCGGTGGAGACGGTGAACGGGGTCAGCGTCGCATTGGGGCCAGCCTGATATGAAAGCATTGCAAACCGCCCAATTGCGCTGCGACGCTGATGCGAAAGCGACATCCAAAAAAGGCAAACGGCTTGGAAGGGGCGCTCGCATCTTGCCGCATCTTTCGGGTCTCAGACGCGGTGTCTCGCAGGCTTCAGCGTTGTGACACAACGGGGAGCCGCGAGCAAGGCCAGTCCACGGCCTGTGGCTGCAGGCCGCTTGCGGGTTGTCTTGCAAGGAAAAAGTTGTCGGCCGCACCACGTGCTCAACGTCTCAAGCGATACCGCAATGGTGCCGCGCAATACCGAGCCGCTGTCCCTTTCCCCAGAGCTGCTCGCCGCTCTGAAGGTTTTCTTTTATATGCTGCGGAACCCCCGCGCACGCCGGCTCGCGAGGGCGCGTGAAGGTTCCGCTGAAGCAACATCGAAGCCGCGAGGCGTGGGTTGAAGGTGGTTTTGGCGCAAAACGGGGCCGATGGATGCGCCGAACTGCACTTGGTGATGCAAGATGCCACATTCCAAGTTGCAAGGGCCATGCAACTTTGTCAAGGCCAGCCACAGTGCCGTGCGCAGGAACGTTTCAGTAAAGCAGTAGGTCCTTGCGCAAGTTTATCCCAAAAACACAAGAAGGCCTCACGTCATGAAACTTGCAAGTTAAATCGTTCATGCCCAAGCGGGGGGCCTCTTTTTGTAACCCTGCAACTCAACACATTTCTTGCTGGTTCCATAGGCATGGAACGGACGACCCTGATCCTTGAGAACCACTGACAATTGAGCCATCAAACCCGGGCAAGAGAAGAAGACGAAATCAGAGAACCGTAGATGGGTGTGTCTTTTCTGCGTTTAACGGGGCACCAAAAGGACACCGAAGCGAGCGGCAGAGACTTGTTTCTGCGCAAGAGGTGGGACGGATATGGGGGATGTTTCTTCTTAAACGAAACCCCCCTCCCCCTCCCAAAAAAAGAAAAGAAAGAAAGAAAGAAAGAAAGAAAGAAAGAAAGAAAGAAAGAAAGAAAGAAAGAAAGAACGAAAGAACGAAAGAAAGAAAAGAAGAAAAGAAATGAAACAATGAATGACTGAATGAATGAATGAATGAAATGAAATGAAATGAAATGAAATGAAATGAAATGAAATGCAATGAAACGAATGAACAGAAAGAAAGAATAAGAAAGACAGAAAGAAAGAAAGAAAGAAAGAAAGAAAGAAAGAAGAAACAGAAAGGAAGAAAGAAAGAAAGAAAGAAAGAAGATAAAGAAAGAAAGAAAGACAGAAAGAAAGAAAGAAAGAAAGAAAGAAAGAAAGAAAGAAAGAAAGAAAGAAAGAAAGAAAAGAAAGAAAGAAAGAAAGAAAGAAAGAAAGAAAGAAAGAAAGAAAGAAAGAAAGAAAGAAAGAAAGAAAGAAAGAAAGAAAGAAAGAAAGAAAGAAAGAAAGAAAGAAAGAAAGAAAGAAAGAAAGAAAGAAAGAAAGAAAGAAAGAAAGAAAGAAAGAAAGAAAGAAAGAAAGAAAGAAAGAAAGAAAGAAAGAAAGAAAGAAAGAAAGAAAGAAAGAAAGAAAGAAAGAAAGAAAGAAAGAAAGAAAGAAAGAAAGAAAGAAAGAAAGAAAAAGAAAGAAAGAAAGAAAGAAAGAAAGAAAGAAAGAAAGAAAGAAAGAAAGAAAGAAAGAAAGAAAGAAAGAAAGAAAGAAAGAAAGAAAGAAAAGAAAGAAAGAAAGAAAGAAAGAAAAGAAAGAAAGAAAGAAAGAAAGAAAGAAAAAAAGAAAGAAAGAAAGAAATACAGACACAAAAAGAAAGAAATAAATAAGGAACTAATGAGCGAATGAAAGAATGAAAGAATGAAAGAATGCCAGAATGCCAGAATGAAAGAAAGAAAGAACGAACGAACGAACAAACGAAAGAAAGAAAGACAGAAAGAAGGAAATAAATAAAGAAAGAAAGAAATACAGAAACAAAAAGAAAGAAAGAAAAAAATACAGAAATAATGAACGAATGAAAGAATGAAAGAATGCCAGAATGAAAGAATGAACTTTGAAACCGCAGCCACAAAAAAAAAGAACCACCCATATCCGTCCTTTGCTTTTTGGGTTAGTTGGCCCGCTTCTCTCATGCCCTCTGGGTTTTGATCTCAGATCTTTCTGGGGCGCCCTTTTCTGTGTTTTTGGTGACCTGTAACATGTATATGTCTTTTCTTGAGGGGTGCCACGTTTTGGAGCTGGTGTGAACACCTCGGGCCTTTAGAGGCTTTGGCACCTGGAAGGTGTTCATGTTTGGAGCCATGGAGTCTTCTTAATCTGGTTTGAGGTCTTTCAGCATACCCTTTGGCTTCTGGAATGGCAGGCCATGCCTCCTGCAGCCCATTTTTCCTTCGAGTTTTCCTTGGGCCGGCGCCGGCTTCGGCCAGAGGGCTCCGGCCGGCCGCTTGCGCGAGCCATGGCCACCCCACTGGTGGCGTCGGCCGGCTACGCGGGCGCGGCGTACTTTTACAACCTGGGCCGATACAAGTTCGATGCCGAGCAGTGCCGTGGCATCCGCGCTTTTTCGACTCGACGTATTCCGCAACCGAAAGGGTCGGAATTTGTTTTTGTTGGCAAGGTAGCCCGTTCGGTTGGGGCTTACAGGGACACCCAACAAGGACAAAGTGGTCATTTTTTTGGGGGTTGCCCCAAGCAAGACACCCCTTTTTGGCCTGGGCGAACGTTGCCTTGGAAATTGGCCGTGGCTTGTTTTCAAAGGACCCGTATGTTTTCCCTTAAAGGGAGATCAAATCCACCACCATTAATTGGGGTCCCCCTGAGACACATATCCATTTCCTTGATGTTTGCTTTGATGCCAGAAAACAGGGCACACTACAAGCAATGGTCCCCCCCTCCTTTTTCTGATGTCCAAGGCGCCAGGATTGCATGTACCAGATTCAGAACATGAGACTGGCCCAGTGGGGCCTCTTCCGGGAGGATGTGAGGCAGGGCGGGATGTCGGGCGATGCAAAGTTGACACACGCCTGTTGGCTAGCGCCCAAAGTCCAACGGGGCCAGCTTAGGCGGGTTCGGCTACACGGATTCATATTATTGATGATATTAAAGCCTACAGAAACCTTTGACACCCCAAGTATCAATTGGTTTTGTTCGAAGACCAGCTGTTCAAACAGCTTGGGGTTTGGCGAGCCGACACCCCGAGTTGAAGCTGACCTCTTGGTTTCCCTAGGGGTGCTTGAAGATGCTTGAATCAGCGCGTCTTTTTTACTCGTTTTTTGTGGTTCTAAAGGAAGGCCAAAAGGACACCCAGCAATCTTGGGGGTTTGTAAGAAGAACCCCCCCCCCACCCCTTTGGAGGTTTTACAGGAACCCCCCCCAAATGGGTCCATCCCTGAAGAGCTTAAGAACAGGGACCTCTTCGCATTGTCCACCGCCAACATGGACAACTACATTTTGGTGGGTGCGCTCATCGTGACGGCGGTGATGAACTTCGTCTTCGTGGGCTATCCAGCCTTTCCTCTGGAGCCGAGGCGGGGAAGATGGGGAAAGGACACCTTCGGGCGCCCAAAAATGCCGGCGAAGTCAGAAAGGAATAATTTAAATTGCCCCAAAAAAAGATCAGAGGTTCTCCTTGGATGATTTGTTGACCTTGATGACAATAGAATCAACTACTTTCCGTGTGGAGTTGTTGCTGAAGGTTCCGTTTTTTTGGTTGAACTCCGATCCATGCATACCAGTGAGGCGGAGATGGATTCCATGCAAGGTTGACATTGGTGCTTTTCAAAGTAGTGGATCCCTCAAGCTGGCTGCCCTTGGACTCGACCAAGAGGCGTTCAACCATTTCCTGAGACAGAACCGAAAAGCAACACTCTCCGTCTTTTGTTTTTTTCTCCGGAGGGGGATGTCTTACAGGGGTCCCTGTATTTCCCTTGTTGGTCCCATGAAAGGTGAGTATCCCTTGGGGTGACGTTTTAAGGGGAAATATAGGGAGCCCTGTCTTAAGGGAACGGCTTCCAGTGGGTCTCCGCGCCCCTGAGGGTCTTTGGGGCATTTTTTTTGGAGCTGAAGCCCTAGGAAGCTCGGCGCTTCGATTGGATTCGGCCATCCGACTTGGAACAAAGCGGTGCCGTTTAACCTTTCGAGTGTTGGCCCGGTGAACATGAAGCCCCAAATTCTTGGATGTGCACAAATTTTCAAATATCTTTTTGGAGGTGCATGAATCCCCAAACAATCTTTTTGGATGTGCATGACATCATGAATCCCCCAAAAAAGTCTTTTTGGATGTGCAGGTTAGGAGCCATCGAACCAAAGCGACCGGTTGTTCCAAAAGATCTGATGTCCCACCGGTGTCGAATTCGAATTGTCCCGGTTCAATTCTTGGAGTCCCGCAGAGCCGTACCCAGTGGCAGTTGCTCGCCGCCCCGGGCCCCAGGCTGTGAAATGGCCGGGGTCAACACCAATGCTACCATTTGCGGGTAGGTGAATTCACCGCCCATTTTAGAACAGATTTTGTGGTTGGATTGAATCGGATGTTCACTTGGGGGTACGGGGTTTTGGGTTTTGAGCCATAGCCAAATGGCGTCTATCCGGGCCTTTTGGCCTTGGATACTGCAGCCACAGTTCGGCAGATGGGCTACGTTCTTGGCACCGAATTGCAATGCTTCGCCTCGAGCTTGGTTTTGCCGCCCTTGTATCCAATCCATGGATCTTTGACACCCGTGGCAGCTCGGGGTGTGGCACAGTGCTGATTCACGCCTTCAGGACACGAATGCGGGGGCAAATAAGGTGAAGGCCCAAGAGCAGTCGTTCTATTTTTACTCCTTGTCTCTACGATCGTGCGACTCGCCGATCCCTTAGACAGACTCACGGCTGACTCACGGCCGAGCGCCGATCTCTTTCCAGGCGTTGCCTGAAAAAAAATATGCGCTATTAAGCCCAAATTGGCCCTTAATATTTTTTGGGGGGGTTCAGGGCGGGGGGGTTGGAAACTATGAGCACTGGGACCCTGACTTTCTGTACACCCAAGGGTTTTAGGTGCGCCTATTCAAGTTTGTTGCAACGCGTTTTTGTTTGTCGTTGCCATGAGTCTGTTCCCTTTTTCCTTTTCTCTCTGGTTCGTCACTTGAGTCAATGCGCCCAACACAAGGTTCCACTTGTTTGCTTCTTGGGGTTCGTGGCCCCCAAAAGGCGAAGTGCAAAAGGGTTGAAGTCTATCTTGGGGCCTGCAAAAAGTGGGCTGCCTCTTTCGCTTCGCCTCGTTCGGTTTCAGGTGGCTGCTGCTTCTCTGGAACAACTGCGTCTTCGCGTGCATCACCTTCGGCATGGTGAGCGTCTGGCTGGCCATGCACGGCTCCATCGCGCAGCGCTCGGCGCGGGTGAAGATCCTCACACAGGCTGGGGCCTGGGGGCTCGGCGCAGCTTCTTCCGAGCCCAGCCGGTGGTTCAACTACTTCGGTTTTCAGCTTCGGTTTTCAGCTTCTTTGGTGGCTCGACCAGTCGGGTTCTGAGCAGGGTTGTGGAATCAAGGGGTTTATTCCCACTTCTGTGATACAAGGGAATCTCCCCCTGTATATGGGGTGTTAGTCTTTGGGAAGCCCTTTTGGTTGTATCACAGAAGTGGTCATTTCCCACAACCCTGGTTCTGAGGCTTTTAGATCTTTTTGGTTGAACCTGTGGGTTTCCGAATTTTCAGCCTAAGCCTTCAAGGTTCAAGCTCTGACGAGGCCCATGGGGAACTTTTCGAGCAGGCCCCATGAAGCCTTTTTTCGGGCCGGCCAGAAGGGCATGCTCGTGTTTTTTTTCAGTCTCTTTTTTTTTGGGACCAACCAGTGGCAAGGGGTTATTTTCAACAAGAGAGACCCCAAGATGGGCTTTTTGGGTTGCATGTCAAACTGAGGGGATGGCTTTGAGAGTGATAAAACAGGGCTGGAAACCCACCCTAGGGCTCAGCTCCCCGAACCCCAGATCCACATAGAAATCCTGGATCAGATTTGTTGATCAGCTTCAGGGCTTTTAGGGGCTCATCTCTGGAGGAGAACACCCTCCTACAGGATCGATCCGAGGTCAGCATTAAATGCAGAGCCTACTTTAAACCTGAAGGTGTTAAATTCCACACACACATCAAGCATAAGAGCAGCTGTGCTTTCTTCTTCTTCTCTCTTCTTCCTGGAAATGGGAAAATTCGGTGCGAGTTTGGTTGGCGCATGTTCCCTGACGGGTCTCTTTCCGTTTTTTTTGTTTTTACGCCCCTCCCGAAAGCCACCAAACACCAGTCCGTAAAACCCGGTTCTCCCAGGCCGCAAGACCAGCTGCGCTTCTTTCTGGATGTGTGGCTCTTTTCGGGAAATGCCTGTTTGGTTTTTTAGCAAGAGGAAGCCGAAGGTTTGGGGCTTAACCACACCCATTTTTTTTAACCTTCCAAGATGAAAAAAAACACCTCAAACTCACATACAGCGAAACGACCACCCGGTCTCCAGAAAAGATGGGCTGAACATCGGCTTGTTTTGAGTGACTTTTCCAGCTCCAAGGTTTCGGACCCGAGAAGGAAGGCGGCGTGACAGTTCAGTGCTTCATCCTTGGTCTCTTTGATTCTACCGAATCTGTTTTTTCCATCCCAGCCGCTTCAAAAAAAGAGACTGGGCTTCTTCCCTTAAAAGGAATGCGCTTCTTCCCGCCATCCAAGAAAAAGATACACCAAACAGAGCCACGCGCTTCGTTGGAGTTGGCTCCTTCGAGGTCCCCAGCCCCGTTTTCGTCTTTCGGTCGGAGGCGGTGCGGCCGCCGGTGCCCAGCCTGCGGGACGTCCAGGAGGGGATGCGGGCGCAGGAGTCCTTTGAAGGCGCCGTGGGAACGGGCCGAGAAAGGCGTGGGAAATGGGACGGATGGGACGGGGGGCTCCAAAAATGGGGCACCTGATCGGTGCAAAAGGCGTGGGGCATGGGAAATGGGTGGCTCCAAAATGGGGCACCAGCCCAAAATGGGGCACCTGATCGGATTAGCGCCAAGCAGCCCAATTGTTCGGGATTTCTTGGGTGAACATTTCCCTCCAAGTTTTCTAAGAGAAAGGTATGGCAAGTCTAAACGTTTTCTTTGGGACCTCAGACCTCCTTGTCCACTTCCATTGTTGGAAAGAGGGTAGATGGTCCACTAGCCAGGTTCACTTTAGCTAAGCCCCCCGTTTCAACCTGTGCAACTAGGGATACTTGGGTTGAAAAATAGGATTTGGACCCCCGATTTCAGTCTCCCTTTGGTTTTCCTTTTCGCCACCCCACAAGGATACCCTTCGCCTCAAAGAAAGCACTCAGACCAGCGGGCCCGTTTCTGGGCCGAGGGGAGCGCAGTCTTTTTTTTTTTGTGGGGGGGGAGGGGCTTTGGGTGGGAGCCAAACCGCCATAAGGCGATTCCTCAAAAAGGAAGACAAGGAAGTTTCATGCCCATAACTCACAAGGGTAGACCTTTTCAGTACCAGGTTTTTTGATTGCGAACCTGGGGGAAAAGCTGACTTGGCGATTCCTCCCTGAACAAGGCATGTTGTAGCCATACCCCCAGCTTTAATGGGGCTTTCACCACCATAGTTACTCAGTAAGCCAAGTTGTCAAAGTCAGCTGTGGATGTTTCCCTTTATCCTATGCGACCGAGCCGTCGAAGATTCAGAGTCGGAAACGGATTGATGAACCCTCGAGTTTTACTTGAGGGGAGGGGGTGGCAGGTGGCATGTACACTTACAGGCCATTTCGCAGCCAAGAACCCTGAACAACCAATTCCCTGCTGCAAACAGGGTGATAAAGCCCAACTGTCCATCATACGGGGTGCAGCCGATTTTGGAGGGGATCCGGATCACTTTTGGCTGACAGACCATACAGCGTAGGCAGGCCACAGGCTTCCAGCTTAAAGCTGTTAGTTACAAGCGGACGGAGCCAACCCTTGGTTGCTTTCCGCTTGGAGTTTCGAGTCATGGACTCCAATGACAGTGGGTACATTTGTTGATATTTTGTTGATATTTTGTTGATATTTTGAGCAAACAGTGTTGGGTTTGGTGGTTCATTACCTCAAAATCCGTTTGTTTCATTCAGCCGCTTACATGCTGAACGTCGCTGCTGGTCCACTAGTTGTTTGTTGTGTGAACCCCTTGCGTGGAGAAGGTTCTTTATGAGCCCTTGGGGCGCCTTGGCGTGGAAAAGGGAGGGGAGGGGTGCAGTTTTCGGTGTTCATGTTCTATGTTCATGTTTCTTTTTGGGGTGGGCTTTTGGGGGTGCTCTTTTGGGGGTTCTAATAACAAATATCTTAAAGCGCACCAGGACCCCTTTCGCGCACCAAGGCCGCAAATCGGTCCCAGCCCGCCGGGCCTCCGCCTGGATTCCCCTAGTTGGCAAAACATTTAGTTTAGTTCAGATATTGCAATAAATCTCACTTCCTGAGTTCATGAACTTTAAACTTTTTGGGAAGATTATTTTAGTGGTAAATATAAAGTTCGGACTTTTTTTGGGCCCTTAGAGTATTTGGGCCTATCGACCGCATAGTCTTCAGCTTTGGGGGAACAATCCCAATAGTTTTCCTTTAACAACCACCGGGACAGTTAAATTCGAAATGAACGACATGATTTTGAACTCTGGACTCGAGCGACCCATGGTAACTACGCACCGAGTCGGTTGACCCCAGATCAGTGTTTGCTTCTCAGAACTCATTTTCGGAGGGAACACCCCCCTAATAGGCCGCCCTCCGGGTTTTCACTCGCCGGCGCCAAGAAAAAAAAGCACGAACGCCAAAAACACCTCACTCCGCCCGAGCCGCGCGCCCGAGCCGCTCGACTCGAGCGCGCGTGAGCGCCGAGAGTCTCGGCCGAGGCGGCGGGGCGCGGCGCTTCTTCGAGCCCCCGGCGTTCTTGGTGCCCTTCGCCGAGCCCCGGGACGAGGCGATCCGATCCGAAGATCCGAAGATCCGAAGATCCGAAGATCCGAAGATCCGAAGATCGGAGAGCTCGCGGAGCGGGGCGCGTGGGGTTTTTGCACCTCGAACGCGCCCTTAAAATAACAAAGCATGCTTTTTGGGTTCCCGGGCTGAGCCTTTTCCTATTTTTTATATTTGTTTCTCTCTTGCTTTTCTTCTAACTCTGAACCTTGAAGATCAGATCCCATGTATCAAGGTCATTACCAAGTATGGGTTTTGGAGGTATGGATGCGCAAAGTAAGCTGAGGCAAGTGTCTGCCCCTATGAGAGGTATTTCTCACTTCCGTAGCTCCAACACCCCTCTCCCTGGAAATGGCCTTGAACAAGAATCAGGCAAACATTGTCCGTGTACCTGATTCCCCTGATTCACGTGATTCGTTTTATTCACATAGGAGTATCAGTTTGTCAGAAAATATTTGATGCGTAGAATTGGCAGTTTTCCTTTGTTCCCCTTTAGCACCATACAAAGGGCAGAAACAAAAAAGCGACACTTCTCTTCACTTTAGAACTTCCTTTGCCAATTTGGGTGGCAAGTTAGCAAAAGCAGGTGAATCTCACCACACTGGACGATCGGGGCCCCCAAAAGGAAGGTAGTCTTCCCCCCTCCGGTCAGGGTTGTGGGATCACTCGGAGTTTATCCAACCACTTCTGTGATGCTTTCCGGAAATCTGCCCCGTTATACGTGGGGTTAGTCTTTGGGAAAGATACTTTCGGGAATCTCCCCCTTGAAAATGGGTATACGTCTTTGGGGTTTAGGCCCTATCTGTATCACAGCTTCGCGGATTCCTCTTCAACCACAGCCCTGCATGAATTCTTCTTGGAGATCCAAGGAAAGTGGGAACCAACTACAAACTCTATATAGGTGGGTCCCACCCGAATGGTGAGTTTTAAAAGGGCACATCGAGGGAACCCTTCCTTCGTGGTTTCAAAGGGAAATCTGCCAGAAAGAAGAAACACGACGTGTCCCACTACCTTCTCGGCCTTCTTTGTCTCACAAACTCTATGTAGGTGGAACCAGGATATCCCAGAAAGAAGAAACACAGGAAAGCAACCCATTCGAACGGATCCGGGAGGGAGACTTGGCGAAGATCCGGGGCACTCCTTTGGAGGTGCCGAAGCCCAGCGGCGCCGCGTCGGTGCAGCGCACGGTGACTGCCCCGGTGCAGCGAAAGCCGCGGGCCAAGGCGGGCCGGGGTGCGCGTGTGCGCGCGCAAGTGGGGCATTTTTGGGGGTTGGAGGGGTGGAGGGGTGGAGGGGTGGAGGGGTGGAGGGGGGGTGAGGGTTTGGAGGTGGGGTTGGGGGTTTGGGGTTGGAGGGTAGTTGGGGTTTGGCTTTGGCTGGGGGCGGTGTGGGAGAAAATGTGGGGGTGTAGAAGGGTGTGGAAGGGTTTGGAAGGATTTGACAGGGTTTGGGAGAGGTTGTGGGGTTCCTACTTCAGATTCATACTCATATTTCATAGGGTGCTCCAACAAAAGTGAAAGTGGATGATTCTTGTGTGCGGTTTCGGTTGCAGCTACAGCATGTAAGATGTTGGACGGGCCAATTCGAGGGACATTCCTTAGAAATAAAATACGGTTGCCAAGTCGATATCGCAAGTAAACCACGCATTCTCAACTACACAACCATGGCAAACAAATCGGCAAAGCAGGGTTTTTCCTTGTTTCCTTCCTTGCAATTCCAGCAATGGGCACCCACCACGGCCCTCTTGGGCACCTTTTAAGCCAAACCCGAAAGAGGTCAAAGAGGTATCGACCCATGTTCCAAGAAGGAGTCGGATGAGTCTCCCAGATCAATGTGCGAGTGTCCACAAAAGTCAGGGATCTTCCCAAAATGTCAACCACGTAAAGCTGTATCAGCATTGCCACTCATGTCTGGAAGCCAGGGGGCAGTACTGGCAACCTTCAGGAAACGACCCACTTACCCTGTTATACGGGCAAGCAGAGCTGTTAACCGGTTGGGATTGGCCGACCATTGTTTCAACAAACAGTCCAACAGGAGAGTCGAAAAGGAGGTAGTTTCAGCAAAAATGGGTATTCTAACCATACCCTAGGTGGCCAAGTTAGTAAGTTGTTGGGCAACCCAGTTTACAACTTCCCGGACAAAAATTCACCCTGTCTAGGTTGGCCCTTTGAAAGACACACCCTGGGCCCATTGAAAGGGGCAAACCCAGAGCAGCTTGAACAGGGCCTTCAACACGCAAAAGGTTTGGGGTTCCCATGTGAGGGGTGTCTTGTTTTGCCGACTTTTTGGGCAGTCGTTTAGGGAAGCCAAAGGGACACATTCTTCCAAACTCCTGGCTCGTCTTGGGGACCCTTCAAGATGGTGGATGTCCTTTCGTGGCCATTTCCTTTTAGCAAAAAGGGGTTCCAACCAGACAAACCCGTACGGCCCGAGCCTCCAGGGCAAGCCCAAGACGGAAGCGGTGGACTGGCTGACGGACGCCCCCTGCGCGAATGAGGAGGCCGGCTCGGGCTTGGTGGCCGGGCTTGGCCACATTTCGGGTTGCTGTTGTGGGCCCCATGTTGACCCAGGATCTAAGTGGAACCCATCCCCCCTTTTCTTTTTGGGGGGTGTTCCCTCCAAAAGTGAATCCCCACGAAAAGGGGACACCGCCCAATAAAATCAACCAGAGGTTTATTCATCCGGGGTTAACATTCGGGGTCCGAACATGTCTCTCACGTGCAACAAAAAAGGTGTTTTTTTGAAGCAGCGCATCGGAAAGGGGTGGATGTGTGTAGGTTCGACATGGAACCCTAGAGAGAGGCCGGGGCTGCACTTGCCGCTCTTTTTTTTTAAACAAGGGGATAACGTGGGTAGGAAGATCTAGCAGCACAGTGTTTTTTTTAAACCAAATCCATTTCAATTTGGTCGCCAGCCATTTTTGGCTTCGCCGGTTTTTGACCACCTGGCGGAGGTATTTCCGCGTTTTTGAGTTCCGGAAAACACAGTTCTGAGATACAAAATGAATGTTTTCGGTGGTTGAAGAATGCCCCTGTGCTGAATACAGGTGAGTAACCCAACCCCCTTGAAACGGTGTCAATTTTCGTTGCCTGGTGATACGCAATAGAACCAAGTGGAATTCTCGCTCGAAATCAGTCGGCCATCGCCAAATTGGTGGACGACATGGGGGCAATGTGGCGGAACATCAGTTAGACAGACGCTAAAGCCTGCTTCAGTTTCGGCGTTAAAACACGTTTTGGACAATTTGAGGGATCACATACCCGTTTGAGTGTGACTGTTTGTTTTTAACAGGATTTGGACCCACAAAATAGCGGTTCACCTTTGGGCTTTCCTTCAACGCCAGAAAGAGGGGCAACCTCATAAAACGACATACCCTCATTTTGACTGGGGGTGGCACATGCGCTTTAGGAAACTGGCGTTGATCGCGGGGTAGACAAGCGGAGGATCATTCTGACGCAGAGAGCCAGCCAACAAAGGGTTTTAAGCATGGCACATAGTTGTCCTTTTCAATACCCCTCCCCCCCCACCAAAAAAAAGAGGCTTTGGCAGCTCAAACAAAACAACCAATTAGTAGGCGCCCTTTTGATTCTTGCCATGGGTGGTTTTTGACCCCTCCCCGAAATTTCAACGGTATTTTTTGTGGTTTCCCTTTAAGCCGCCCCAAAAAAAGGGTACCCTTCAAGGGCGCACATGCAAAGACTTGCTGTTGCTCAGCAGGGAATGTGGGAATGAACCTTGGGGTCCCCTCAAAGGAAACCACCAGTTGGATGATTCCCTACCTATGGCACCAATGGACCAATGGATGTTGAAAAAGCAGGAATGAATCTGGGGTTCTTAAAGGCAACCACCAGTTGGATGATCCATAGGGGTCATTCCATTTCTCATTCCCTACCGATTCGCACCATCAGGAAAGCTAAAAAGGTAAAACCTATCGAAGTAGAAAGGCTTCATTCCCACCCGACTCCCAAAACCTATCCAGCCAGCAAGAAAAGCGTTGACTGCCTCTATCGAGCCAGCAAGTAAACCATTGATTCGGTTGGGGAGGGTGGACAAAATGATTCAAGACCACCTTGAAAATAGATGGGCGCATCGTTTTTTGGGGGACCTCCAAAAAGGTGGGTTTCCTTCGTAACCCCCCACCAACAGGTCACACCGACCACTTGGAGCCCCGTGAGGTGCTCCAGCATCTGGAGACGGCGGATAACGGCGGCCCGGGCCGCAGCGCGGTGATGCATTCCCACTTTTGGATGCTCAGGCGGGATGGGCAGAGGGATTCTTTGGCTTGTTTTGCCCAACTTCTGCCCCTCCTGCCGCTTTCTCTTTATGATTATCTTTTCTCTTTCTTTTCTTTCTCTTCTTTTTCTTCTTTTTCTTGTTCTTCTCGTTCTTATTCTTCTCTTTCTCCTCTTTCTCCCTCTTATCCTCTTTATCATCTTTCTTCTATTTGTTCTTTCTTTTCTTTTTTGCTTCTCTTCGTTTTCTTCGCTTTCTTCTCTTTCTTCTCTTTCTTCAATTTCTTGTCTCTCTTCTATTTCTCGCTTCTTCCGTCCTCTACTTTCCTTGCAGTCTTTTTGTTTTTACTATTGTCTTAGTCTCTTCTTTTTTCATTTGTTGTCCGTTTCTCGTCCTTATTTTGGACAGCAACCTTGGCAGTGTTCTTGTTGTTTTTTGTTTTTCTCGGCGGGCCGGGGGGTGGGGGGTGGGGACTTTAACCTTTTCTTGGCACCACATCGCGTTTGGCCATTGACGTGCGGGGATGACATCATGGACAATTCTTCCCCGGCCAGCGCTATTATCATCCAGACTGACTGAGATCTCGCTGCAGTTCCAAGAGGTTTCCACAAACAATGGCAAATCACAGCACATTATTTGTGTTGTTTGCTGCTTGCAACATTCAGACAATCAATCATGTTGTCCGGTTTGTTGTTTATTGTCAGGTTTTCAGGTTTTGTTGTGTTTGTCTTGTTTCCTCCTTGCAGCATGTTACACAAACCATATGTCAGGCTTTCATGCAGTCCTATAGTGGACTAAATAGTTAGAATGGTATTGTGGGCTCTCCAAGTTCAGTCACGAGCATAAGGGAAGAATGTGATGCGTCATTACTTGCCCTTGTTTCAACTTTCTTTTGGCAAGGGCCCCCCTTTAAACTCTCAACCAAAAAAGAATCGGATACCATGGACATACACTTTTTCCCCGTTTTTCCCATGGGAAATCTACTCAGCCCCCCTTTCCATGGAAATCCGCTGGGCATCTGAGTCCTTATCCTATCCTTGTCTCGCCAGGCGCGTGCAGCGGGGCTATGCCTGCTTCGACGCCTATGCGCGCATTTGTCTGGTGGTGGCTGCGCAGATGCCCGGCCTGGTCTTGGTGTGTGCATGTGTGTTTTTCGTGTGTCTCATTTTTCCCACCTGGTTCGCTTTTTCCGGCTTGCTCTTTTTGGGACACCCCTTGATTTTTGATTTTGCATCAATTTGCTTGCTCCTGGTTTCTTCTTTCACCCTCGTCGGCGGGCCTGTAGGTTCTATTTGCGTAAGCAAGTGCATGGACTGAGCTCACATACGCGTTGATTTTATCAAACATTTAAGCCCCCAAGCTCGACTCCCCCTGGACCGCCCGGCCCTGCTATTCATCTTTTTCCCTGGTCAAGAACGGTCAAGTCACGGTCAGCTCTTTTTCGCACTTGTTGTGGGACACTCGGTGCGCATATGATTCATAGCCAGCTATTGTCTCTCACATGCATTCCGATTAAGTATTTGTCCACTATTTTCCACATTAGCAAGTAGTGAACACTCATAGAGTACTAGTAGTAGATGTGCGAATTCGAGTAACTTAGAGCCCTTTGCTCCCAGTTGCGTTCATATTAAGTATTTGTGAACTAATTTTGCATCCGCAATTAGCGAACAAGTATGGACAGTTTACACAAGTGTCCTACACATTGCACCTATAGGTCTCTCAAATGCATTTATATTAAGGATGTATTCAGCAAAATTCCAACAGGTATTGGGCATGTCCGAGAACTAGCACAATGTTGTGCTTTGCACTTTCGCACCTGCCTAAAGTGCAATACTTGTCACTAATGTTCACTACAGTTCACTAAGTTCATTAAGACTAGCTGCTCGTCACTATGTTTCGTAAAGTTTCAAACTACACATGTTTAAACCTCGAGATTCGTGAACATGAGTTAGACACAGTAATATTAGTGACATCTTTGAACATTCGAAATTGAGTGACACATTTTGAATTTGACTGACAACCAATCCATTGCACTTTCACAGCTGACTAACGCCTGAGCTTCGCAGCGTGTGCCAAATGTGTCAACAGCATGCTATTCGCTAGCTTTGGTCCAGTGTTTGGTTACCCATTGCTTTCCCGTTTCATTTCCCCAAGGTTTTACTATTTGTATTTCAGGTCCTTTTAGTTTGCCTTATTCAAGCCCAGACCCTGTTCCCTTCTGCTTGCGACATGTCCCCGCCTTTTCGCTGCCTTCGCACCTCCAAGCCCCGCCTTGCCTTCCCCTCCGAGCACACCAACATGTGTTCCTTTCTCACCAGGAAGACCAACATGTGTTCCTTTTTCAGCAGGGACAGAAACAAAAAAAAGGCATGAGCCACTTTCAGCCAGGGGCATGCTGCCGGCCCTTTCATGCCTTCCCAAATCTCCACCATTCTAACCCCAGATCCCGGGTTTTGCAGGTGTCGGTTTTGTTGGGAGGGTACCTTTTTGGGTTTGTTGAAAGGGACTTAGTGAACCCACTTTCTAGGAACATGCTGCTGGTCATTTTCGTTGCTTCAACAGAAACACAGAAAGACCAGAAACACAACAGGCTCCCCCCCCGTGTCCCTCCACCCAGCAAACCCACATTTTTTTTGCTGCCTTGAACTCCAAACTGATTCAACAGTTCCGCATGTTGTCCCACATGCTTCCTTTTGGTTTCCCTTCAGCTTTTCTCAGCCAACACTTGGGCCTGTAGATAATCAACCAGACAGTATTTCTCCTTCAGGAGCACGCTGCCTTGGGGACCCCGCCCCCAACCACCCTTCAGGGACTTCAGGGAGCTCCCCCCCCTTCAAACACCAAGCCACCAAACCGCCAAACCACCAAACCACCAAACCACCAAACCACCAAACCACCAACCCACCAACCCACCAAACCACCAAACCGGCACTGTGGGGGGAACCTGACTTTTGCAGAGGAACATGCTGCTGGTTTGCGCCTACTACTCCTTGGGTCACTTCATGTCCAAGATGGACGTCTGGCCCACGCGGGCCCAGAACCCTCCGGCGGCCTGGCTGGCGCTGGCGGCCTCGGCCTTCGCCTCCACCACGTTGCGCCTCGGGTCTGGGGTCTGGGCTGGTGGGGGGGTGCGGGGCAGGGGGGTGGGGGTTGGTTGGTTGGGGTGGGGGGGGGTTGGGGTTGGTTGGGGTGGGGGTTGGTTGGGGTTGGTTGGGGTTGGTTGGGGTGTGGGGTGGGTTTGGGGGGGTGGTTTAAACAACTGTCTCCCAACTTTTTGGTTGAGAGGATTGAGCTTTGACAATTGTGAACCGACTTGTTTGGGGAGGGGTTGTTTCCCCTTCGACACACAGGGCTTCTTTGTTTCCTCTTCTGTTTTTGCAACTTTGTGCGAAATCTCTTTTTCTTGAGACTTGCTTGAGTCGGATTGATCCTCAAGCATGCACGTGCTTAGGGTCAAACGCGTTGAAAGGGTGTTGCCTTTCACAACAGGTGCCACGTGTTCGCATACTTTTCTTGGGTGTGCCTGTGTTTAGGGGACCCCCCGCCTTTCCCGCAAGAAATGCTTCATCATATTGATGATGCTTTTTGCCAGGGTGCAACATGTTTTCATCGCCCCTGGCAGGGCTTCTGAACACCCGAGTCCTCTTGGGTCTTCCATTGGGGCGTGTCGTTTTTGAAGGTGCCCGGAAGTAACGTGCCGGTGCAATAGGGGAATGAGACATGGAATGAACCTGGGGATTCCCTTAAACCAGTTGTATGGTTTCTCTTGGGGTCATTCCATATCTCATTCCCTGCCGATTTCGCACCAGAAAGGTAAGGCAGGTGGCTTTTGGATGTATCCTTTGAGGACTCCTTTTGGAGGATGACAGCTTTTTTCGCCCTCAACGAGCCGGCGAACCCCCCAAATGAAGTCAGCCAGCAGCTTGCGCTCCAAGCCAGCAGCTGATGCCGAGAAAAACCGTCAACCGAGCTGGCTTCCTTTGTTCGGGAGTGCCCAAAACAGGTTCAACCCCTGAAAACTCGGACTCGTTGTTCCCTGGCTATCGCCCTGGTGGATGAACAGAGTGTCTCCCCCCCCCGCCAACAAGAAAGACATATTTTCCTAAACGCTTGCTCATCCCAATCCAAAAATCAACCAGCCGGTTTGTAATTCTGTTTGTTTTTGGTAAACGGACAAACAGGGTGTCCCCCCAAAAACACACACACAAAGGTTTCTTTCTCAAACGGGGGTGCTCACTCCAATTGAGAAAAAAAAGCCACCAGCAGCTTGGGTTCCCATTCGTCCCTAGGTACAAGCTCGACTTGTTCTGCGGTAAGCGCTTCCGGACCCTGATCCACTTCACGCTCTTGACCCCACCCGCCCTGGCAGGCTGGCGCTGAGCTGCTTGTTTTTTGTTTGCTTTTATTTCCTTGGTTCGATGGGTCGGGAATGAAGGTTGTGTTTGTGTTTTTTGTTGTTTTTTCCCGGAAGCATTGCGAAGGGTTCTTCTTCTAAAAGCGGCTGCCAACTTCACCTGCCAACTTCTCATGCCAACTTGTCGAGAGTTACTTCACCTGCCAACTTCTCATGCCAACTTGTCGAGAGTTACTTCACCTGCCAACTTCTCATGCCAACTTGTCGAGAGTTACTTCACCTGCCTACTTCTCATGTCAACTTTTTGAGAGTTACTTCACCTGCCAACTTCTCATGTCAACTTTTCGGCTGTTATCTCATTCTACTAAAAGCACAAGCTAATTTGTCGGGTGTTACTTCACTATCCTAAAAACACAAGCTAACTTTTCTGTTCTACCTTCACTTCTCGACTCTTAATTCTTCTTCTTTTTCTGGCGGGGGTAGGCCCGACAGGAGCTTACGAAACGCACCCCTCTGCGGAGATCGTGCGTGTCGAAGCGCTCTCGCTGTGGCGCCGTGCGAATTTGTCTTGAGCGCGGCGAACCCTCTGCGGAGATCGTGCGTGTCGAAGCGCTCTCGCTGTGGCGCCGTGCGAATTTGTCTTGAGCCGGCGAACCCTCTGCGGAGATCGTGCGTGTCGAAGCGCTCTCGCTGTGGCGCCGTGCGAATTTGTCTTGACCTTGGCGAACCCTCTGCGGAGATCGTGCGTGTCGAAGCGCTCTCGCTGTGGCGCCGTGCGAATTTGTCTTGACCTTGGCGAACCCTCTGCGGAGATCGTGCGTGTCGAAGCGCTCTCGCTGTGGCGCCGTGCGAATTTGTCTTGACCGGCGAACCCTCTGCGGAGATCGTGCGTGTCGAAGCGCTCTCGCTGTGGCGCCGTGCGAATTTGTCTTGACCTTGGCGAACCCTCTGCGGAGATCCTGCGCGTCGAAGCGCTCTCGCTGTGGCGCCGTGCGAATTTGTCTTGGTCGCGGCGAGCCCTCTGCGGAGATCGTGCGTGTCCAAGCGGCGCACCCTCTGCGGGGATCGCGCGTGTCGGATTGCCCTCGCCGTGGTTCCGTGCGAAGCTGTCGTGAGCCCGATGAACCCTCTGCGGGGATCGCGCGTGTCGGATCGCTCTCGCTGTGGTCCCGGGCGAATCTGCCTTGACCTTGGCAGACCCTCTGCGGGGATCGTGCGTGTCGAAACCGCTCGCTGTGGCGCCGTGCGAATTCTCTTGCTGTCGCTACTCGCAAATAGCCTTTGAAAGTTGTCTCATGGTTTGCGCGCCTGCTTTCGCAATCGCGGCGTCGCAGGTTCGATCCCCCCTGGTCCGCGCCAGCTCCGGCGCGAAAATCGTAAGTTTGAAGTACAAAAGTAGTGCGCGGAGAGCGTCTCCCCAGCTCCGCCGGAAAAAGAAGAAAGAACTCAGAATCGAGAAGAGAAGGTAGAAAAGGAAAAGTCGGCTTGCAATTTTTTGCATAGTGAAGTAACGCCTGAAAAAAATACTTGCGCTTTCCGATGCCGAAGAAACGCCCGAGAAGTTAGCTTGCGCTTTAGGATAGTGAAGTAACACTCGAAAATTTGGCTTGTGTTTTGGGACAGTGCATTTGGCTTGTGAAGTGAGATTGGGCAGTTGGCAGTTGTCATTGGCTTGTGAAGTGAGATTGGGCAGTTGGCTTTTGTAATTGGCTTGTAAAATAAACATGCGCAGTTGGATTTTGGAGTGATAGGCAGCTGACAAGAGCAATAGTAGCCGAAGCTTGGATGTCATGAGTGTCTCAGTAGCGGAGCTTGCCCAGAGAATGTTTGCGGCGACAGTTGATTAGGGCGACACGGCTTCTTTGTGTTGGTGCTATGCTTCATTTTTTGGAGGGGTGCTCCATGAGGTTGCTGTCGCTTGTCATTGCTGCTTGCACGTGCATTCATGCTCGAGGCAGTCCTCCGTGTTAGTACTGTAGAAGGTGTCATCGCTCAGATCGCATCTTCCGAAGTGCGGATTCGTTTCCTTGGCGCACCAATCTTGTCAAAGCAGTTACACACAGCGGGTGGCCAGAAGATATCAGAGTCGCGCGGCGCTGGCGGGTATTTCCGACGTGTCGTGTTGCCATGTCGCATTCTGGTCGCCAGCGACGTGCGCAGGCTGGACGTTGGCATGCGAGAGCGCACGATTGTTTCGCATACCCCTCTTGGTTTCTTGGAATTACCACTTTTGGCTTGCGCTGTTGGTTTCCACCGTGTGTCTTTCAGCGCGCGCAGCAGGCTGCGAATCCCTTGGATGCTCTTCCTGATGCTGAGCATTTACGGGCTGAAGCAGCAGTACATGGTCAAGACTGGCTCCATGCTGAGCTGGATGGCTCGATGAAGCTGGACAAGCTTCGTGCCTTCGCAGCTGGCCTCGGCGTGCAGCAGAGGGATCCCGCATCTGGTAGTCGGCTTTCCAAGAGCCAGCTGCTTGAAGCCGTGGTTGCAGCTCTACGTTCGCGACCTGACACAGAGGCATGGTTTCGCAGTTACAAGTAGACCCCACAAGTTTAGTTTTATTGCTTAGCTCTTTTTGGCACCCTCAATGCTCAACTCGTTCACGACAAGCCTTTAGATACCGGAGCGTGTCTTTCAGCGCGCGTAGCGGACAGAGGAGGGCTTGCTCGAAAGATTGCTTTGGTCAACAGTGTTTCCCTGAATGTAAGAAGCTGGTCGCCTTGCTCTTTGTGCGTGTGTAAGAACTATGTTGTAAGAGCGCAGGCAACTTCGTCTTCCACAGCTGCTGCGAGTTCTGGGGATGGCCTTCCTGACGCAGAGCGTCTGCGAGCCGAAGCAGCTCTACGGGGGTCTGACTGGCTCCGGGCCGAGCTGGACGGCTCCATGGCGGCGGAGAGGCTTCGCTCCTTTGGAGCCGGCCTTGGCGTGCAGAAGAGGGACCCCGCTTCTGGCCAGCAGCGCACCAAGGGCCAGCTGCTTGATGCCTTGGTCAACTTTTTGTGTCCTCCTTCCAGCGCAGAGGCATGGTTTTCCAAAGCACTTGTTTCTTGTCAACAGTGTTCGCACGAACAGAGGATTGCTCGAAAGAATGTTTTTGTCAACAGTGTTTCCCTGAATGTAAGAAGCTGGTCGCCTTGCTCTTTGTGCGTGTGTAAGAACTATGTTGTAAGAGCGCAGGCAACTTCGTCTTCCACAGCTGCTGCGAGTTCTGGGGATGGCCTTCCTGACGCAGAGCATTTACGGGCTGAAGCAGTTGCGCGTGGCGAGGAATGGCTGCGGTCCGAGCTGGAAAGCTCAATGCCGCGGGGCCAGCTTCGCTCCTTTGCAGCTGGCTTGGATGTTCCCCTGAGGGATCCCACCACTGGACAGCAGCGCGCCAAGGGTCAGCTGCTTGATGCTTTGGTGGCAGCTTTGTGCCCTTCCGCCATCGCAGAGGCATGGTGTCGCTTTTGAAAATATACCGCCGAATTGTGGGGATGTTTGAACTGTGTGTAGATGGCTTGTTTATTTCCATGGTGTTGCGTACCTTCCCGACCTGACGCAGAGGCCTGGTTTCGCAGCTACAAGTAGACCCCACAAGTTTGGTTTTATTGCTTAGCTCTTTTGGCACCCTCAATGCGCAACTTGTTCACGACAAGCCTTGAGATACCGGAGCGTGTCTTTCAGCGCGCGTAGCGGACAGAGGGCTTGCTCGAAAGAATGTTTTTGTCAACAGTGTTTCCCTGAATGTAAGAGGCTGGTCGCCTTACTCTTTTGTGCGTGTTCAAGAACTATGTGATAAGAGCGCAGGCCACTTCGTCTTCGACAGCTGTAGCGAGTTCTGGGCATGGTCTTCCCGATGCACAGCACTTGCGAGCCGAAGCAGAAGCACGAGGTTCTGACTGGCTCCGGGCCGAGCTGGATGGCTCCATGACGGCGGCAAGGCTTCGCTCCTTTGGAGCCGGCCTAGGCGTTTCGCAGAGGGACCCCACGTCTGGCCAGCAGCGCACCAAGGGCCAGCTGCTTGCTGTCTTGGTCGAATCTCTGTGTCCTCCTTCCAGCGCAGAGGCATGGTTTTCCAAAGCACTTGTTTCTTGTCAACAGTGTTCGCACGAACAGAGGATTGCTCGAAAGAATGTTTTTGTCAACAGTGTTTCCCTGAATGTAAGAAGCTGGTCGCCTTGCTCTTTGTGCGTGTGTAAGAACTATGTTGTAAGAGCGCAGGCAACTTCGTCTTCCACAGCTGCTGCGAGTTCTGGGGATGGCCTTCCTGACGCAGAGCATTTACGGGCTGAAGCAGTTGCGCGTGGCGAGGAATGGCTGCGGTCCGAGCTGGAAAGCTCAATGCCGCGGGGCCAGCTTCGCTCCTTTGCAGCTGGCTTGGATGTTCCCCAGAGGGATCCCACCACTGGACAGCAGCGCGCCAAGGGTCAGCTGCTTGATGCTTTGGTGGCAGCTTTGCGCCCTTCCGCCATCGCAGAGGCATGGTGTCGCTTTTGGAAATATACCGCCGAATTGTGGGGATGTTTGAACTGTGTGTAGATGGCTTGTTTATTTCCATGGTGTTGCGTACCTTCCCGACCTGACGCAGAGGCCTGGTTTCGCAGCTACAAGTAGACCCCACAAGTTTGGTTTTATTGCTTAGCTCTTTTGGCACCCTCAATGCGCAACTTGTTCACGACAAGCCTTGAGATACCGGAGCGTGTCTTTCAGCGCGCGTAGCGGACAGAGGAGGGCTTGCTCGAAAGAATGTTTTTGTCAACAGTGTTTCCCTGAATGTAAGAGGCTGGTCGCCTTACTCTTTTGTGCGTGTTCAAGAACTATGTGATAAGAGCGCAGGCCACTTCGTCTTCGACAGCTGTAGCGAGTTCTGGGCATGGTCTTCCCGATGCACAGCACTTGCGAGCCGAAGCAGAAGCACGAGGTTCTGACTGGCTCCGGGCCGAGCTGGATGGCTCCATGACGGCGGCAAGGCTTCGCTCCTTTGGAGCCGGCCTAGGCGTTTCGCAGAGGGACCCCACGTCTGGCCAGCAGCG